ATTTAAGATTTTATGATTTTGAAATTTAGGTTTATAAAATTCTAATATTTGAAGATTCAAGTCTTAGTTTTCTAGAATTTTGAATTTCTAAAAATTTGTTGAAAATTTCAAATTCCTATGATCCTGAAAAATTGATTCTTAGATTTAAGGTTTAGTAAATCAAATCATGCTAGAAATTTAAACATTGGGAAAATTCTATAACTCAAAAATTCAAAATTTGTTTGATTTTAAAGATTCTAAAGTTTAAATAATGTGATCCTAAAGATTCTAGAATTTTGGAACGCGTTTGAAAATTTTAAATTCCAAAATTTTTGAATTCTAATAAAAAGAAATATTTTTTTATGGAATTGAGAGTTTCTCACACCTGAATGATAAAAGTCTTGTGTTCGAGTCCCCCTTTTGACATTCCAATGAGAATTTCGGTATTTCGGAGTCTTTGAACTTGAAAGCAAATAAATTTTTAAACTTTAGAAATTTACATTAATAAAATTTTAAAGCTTTAAAAATAAATTTTGAAATTCCAGAATTTCAAAGAACACAAAGAAATAGATATCTTAATTCTGAATCTTTAAAATTCTAAAATCGTTGAATAAGAAAATCAAATTTTAGATGTAAGTTTTTTAGCATCTTAGAATTTAAAGAGTTTTCTACTACGTTAGAATTCAAAAAACACAATTTCTAGAATCTTCGAATCCTAGATCTTGAAAAGTAATCTCCAGTCCATAGAATCTTTAAAATTATAAAACCTTAAACACTAATCTCCACCAAAATTGTTAGAACTTTGGAATCTCAAAATTTTTATTGTTATCTAAAATGATTATATTTAGGGATTTTAGAATATTAAAAAGAAATATTCAAAATCTTAGAATCTAATAACTTTTTGATTCTCAAAATCTTTTAGAGCTGGAAAACATAATAGAATTTTTAGATCTCCGGAAGCTTTAGAATTAAATTTTAGATGTAAAATCTTAGTTTAAAAAGCTATCTTCACATGTTGAAATTCTTTAATAAGATGAAAAAATAAGATTCTTAAAATTCTGGATCTTTAAAACTTTTAGAATTTTGGTATTTCGGAATCTTAGAACTTTTTTGAAAATTTAAAAATTCTTATGATACTGAAAAATCGATTTTTAGATTTAAGGTAGTAAATCAAATCATGCTCGAAATTTAATGATTGGGAAAATTCTATAACTCAAAAATTCAATTTTTGTTTGATTTTAAAGATTTTAAAATTCCAAAATTTTTGAATTCTAATAAAAAGAAATACTTTTTTATGGAATTGAGAGTTTTTCACACCTGAATGATAAAAGTCTTGTGTTCGAGTCCCCCTTTTGACATTCCAATCCGTTCCAAAATGTCGTCGTTATTCAAAAAGTAATCTAAAGCAAAAAAAATCCCCTGACTTGTCATTTTCTCGTAATTCTTAATTCCCCCAAGTTCGACAGGCTTGCCAGCTACCATAACTTTCTCTAAATGAGAAAAAAAAATACTAAAAATGTAACTAAAAATAAACCAACCATAATCCTGCGGAAAAATGGCGGCGATCCACGCCATTTCGCGTTCCCCAACGTTGGTATCAGGCTCAATGATGTCCGTTTCTCCATCTAGTGTGACAATATTTCGGCTTAAAAATCCCTAAATTGACAAAAAATTACCACAAAACCCCTTCTTGTACAGTTCAGCCGCATATTTCTTCGTGATTCTTTGCAATTCAATTGGTTTGTAATTCAGGGGGTTGATTTTGACCCCCCCATGCCCCCCAGCAAGTCTCACCCCCATACAAGCATGTTTATAAGTCGCTAAAGTCGCCAAAGCTTTGACATGGTCACGTGTCAAGTCCTGTTTCACCCTCAAACCACCCAAACAAGTACCAAACCCGGAATACAAGCCATGTTGGGCCCGGAACCCACGTACCATCTCCTTGGTACCATTCTCAAGCTGGATGGGGAACCGGACATCGATGAGGGAGTTACACTGGTCCAAAATTTCGATCACTTGAGACACTTTTCGAACCGCTTGAGAATCGGTTAGGTTCGGTTCGTGGTTTTTCACTTGTGAAACTAGTTTCGGGAAACAGATCTCGTAGGCGCGATGGAGGTACCAGTTGACTTGGTCGAAGAAGGCGGCGTTTACGAGGTAAAAGGAGTTGCGGTAGCGTTCGGGGATCTCGTAAGAAAAATGGGATTTTGGGAGTTTCAAAGACATTTGTGTCAAAAGTGAAATGTGACTTTTGGTGATTTTTACCAACTTGATGAAGGAAGGGTGGCAGGACTGGATATGTTTTGAGTTTTTTGGACTAAAACTCAATAGATTTGTAAATCTTAATACCAGTTTCAAAAGTGTTGAGTAGACTTTTTTAAGAATCTTTAATCTTAAGATTTCATCTTTAAAACTATAATTTAGAAATTAAGATATAGATTTGTAACTCAGAATCTTTAAGAATGATGAGTTTTTTAACTTAAGAATTATTAGAATTTTGGTAGCTTTGAAATTTTGTTTTTTTATATTGTCTAGGATCACATAATCTAAGAGCTCGAAAAACAAATTTTTGATTTTTAGAATTTTTAAAAGCATGGAATACATAACACCGGAATCTTTAGAATTTTAAACCTGAGAAACGAATTTTAAATTATTTTTTTTTAAATCTTGTAATTTAAAAAGTTGTCTTCACATGTTGAAAAAATAAGATTCTTGAATTTCTGGATCTTTAAAACCTTTCGAATTTCGGAATCTTTGAACTTGAAATTAAATAAATTTTTAAACTTTAGAAATGTACATCAAAAAATTTTAAAGCTGGGGATTTAAAAATAAATTTTGAAATTCCAGAATTCAAGAACACAAATAAATAGATATCTTAATTCTGAATCTTTAGAATTTTAAAATCTTTGAATAAGAAAATCAAATTTTAGATGTAAGTTTTCTAGGATCTTAGAATTTGAAGAGTTCTCTACTACGTTAGAATTCAAAAAACACAATTCTTGAATTTCTAGAATCTTCAAATCCTTGATCTTGAAAAGTAATCTTCCATCCATAGAATCTTGTTTAAAATTATAAAACCTTAAACACTAATCTCCAAAGATCAAAATTGTTAGAATAACTTTGGAATCTTAATTTTTTTTTCTAAAATCTTTATATTTAGGGATTTTAGAATATTAAAAAAAAAGTATTCAAAATCTTAGAATCTAATAACAATAACTTTTTGATTCTCAAAATCTTTTAGAGTTGGAATACATAATAGAATTTTTAGATATCCGGAATCTTTAGAATTAAATTTTACATTTAAAATCTTAGTTTAAAAAGCTGTTTTCACATGTTGAAATTCTTTAATAAGATGAACAAATAAGTTTCTTGAAATTCTGAATCTGTAAAACCTTTAGAATTTTGGTATTTCGGAATCTTAGAATTTGAAAGTAACTAAATATTTAAACTTTAGAAATACAGAATGCGCCAGAACTCGCGCCCCCAGAGAAAATTTTCAAGTAAGGTAAGATACCAGGAACTTGTAAAAAATGTTTAAAAAATTCTATCTGTCAAAAAATTTTGACATTTATTTTTTGACATTTGACATTTTTTTATATCCATTTAATGATAATGATGATTTTGTATATGTTTTTTTACAATTATTTAGTAAAGGGACAAAAATTTTACCAATAAAAGCCACAAATAACAATGAACAGAGTTACAATTTTGGATACAGCTTCCTTGTTTCCTCTTTTAATAGCCTAGAGCAAAAAAACTAGAAAAAGTATTTTTCCAACAGAAATAAATTGAGTCAAAGTGCAAATTTTAAACCCTCATAACTTCGAAATTTTTATAGATAAAATTTTTTTAACATTTTTTCCATGTTCCTGTTATCTTACTTTATATGGCATTTTTCTCTGGGGCGCGAGTTCTGGCGCACCCTGTATACATCAATAACATTTTGGAGTTTAGGGGCTTGAAAAATAAATTTTGTAACTCCAGAATTTTCAAGAGCACAAAGAAATAGATATCTCAAATCTAAATCTTTCTTGAATTTCTAGAATCCTCAAATCTTTAATCTTGAAAAGTAATCCCTAATCCATAGAATCTTTAAAATCATAAAACCTTAAACACTAATCTCCAAACATCAGAATACTTTGGAATCTTTTTATTTTTTTCTAGAATCTTAATATTTAGGAATTTTAGACTATTAAAAAAGAAATATTTAAAATCTTTAGAGCTGGAATAGATAATAGAATATTTAGAATTAAATTTTAGATTAAAAAAGCCGTCGAAGTAAAAATAAGCATAGAAAAAAAGCTTTGTTGTCGAAACTCGAATTTTGGAGTCAAGATCTTTAGCATCTTAGAATTCAAATAGTTCTACTACGTCAGAATTTTCAAAATTTTGAGTCATTAGAAAATACAATTCTTGAATTTTTGAATCTTCAAATCCTCTAGAACTTAAATTAAAATCTTGAAAAGTAATAATTGATCTTCAAGACTTTTGCAATAGAATGCTGATCTTAAGCAGTAAATTTCCAAAATCTAACTTTGAAATCTTAAGAAGTAAATATCTTTCATAATATTGGAGCTGGTAAAAAAACAATAATTAACCATCGAAATTTTATTGAAATAAATCAATAACAATTGGCGTTAAGTATTATGTACATAAAATGAGTGAACAAGTGCACGATCAAAATACTGGTAAACAAATTTCAAAAAAATTTTTTTTGCGTAATAATGGTTTAGAAGGTAAGTCCAGCTTCTGAGTAAGTATTGAAGATTTTTTCAATCGAGTTAATGTAAGCGGCCGTTCTCAAATCCAAGCCCAGATTGAACTTCATTGCGGTTTTCATAATCGCCTGAAAAAAAAAACACAAAATTAATTTTCAGTCAAGAAATGAGTGACGTAACCTTTACTCGTCAACCACCACCAAAAACCTGAAAAAAACGAAAACGAAACATGAGAAAATTACCAAAACACAAAACTTGCCCCCCGATTTCTCCACCACAAAAAAATTATTATTATTGTTATTAAAAAAAAAACCTCTTACTTTGGCCGATCTTTCCATGGTGTAGTCCAACCCCGAATGCACGATATCCTTCTCGGAAGCCCCCGCTATTCTCTTACTGAACGACTCACTGGGGGTCACTGGGATTTTGCCCCCCACACTGCCAAATCTGCGTTCGAGGGACTCCTGCACCGATTCTGAAACCCCAATTTTCGCCAAAAATTCTCATTTTTTTTAAATTCTTACGCAACAAGTGGTAATTTGAATCCCTCTCGTATTTGAAAGTGAGTCTTCCATAGGACACGTGATTGATATTTTTCAACCATTCGAAGAACGAAACTGTTACACCACCAGCGTTTATGTACAAATCGGGGATCACGAGAATATTTTTTTCAATGAGGATTTGATCGGCGGCGGGAGTGGTGGGGCCGTTAGCCGCCTCGGCGATAATCTAACAAAAAATGTATTTATTTTTTTGAAAAAAAAAAAAAAACGGTCCTACTTTGGCCTTAATTTTATGAGCATTTTCCTTGTTTATGACCTTCTCGGTGGCCGCAGGGACCAGGATATCGCACTCTTCGTACAATAAACTGTCACCCTCGTAGGCCTTGGAACCGGGGAAACCCACAATTGTTCCGTTGGTCATCCTGTAGTCTTCCAATTCCTACAAGCATTAAAAAGGTTTTTTTTTAATTAAATTTTATTGGGTCGAGTTTGAAACATGAATTTCTTGAATTGAATTGAGGTCCGAGAGACAGAAAAAAGTGCATAAAATTATTTTTCTTACCTTTGGGTCTAGCCCATTGGGGTTATAAATCGACCCATCGTGCTCCAGCACTCCAATACACCTCGCTCCGGCCCTGTGCAAATACCTCATAGTATGCAACCCCACATTACCGAACCCTTGAACGATGAAAGTCTTCCCGCCCCATCCAGGCGTGGTCCCACACAGACTCATATACGCCGCCTCATTGACGAAATTATCCAATCCGTGAAAAACGCCACGCCCAGTAGCCGAAACACGCCCATGAATACCGCCCTGATTGATAGGTTTGCCCGTAACACAGGCGTGGTTATTAATATCTTGATAACCGATGGTTTTTGAGTACGTATCGGCAATCCACGACATTTCTCTCTCTCCTGTACCCATATCGGGGGCGGGGACATCAATACTGGGACCAATAAAACCCTTTTTCGCCAATTCGAGAGCGAAACGACGTGTGATTTTTTCAAGTTCGTGTTCGGTGTATTCTTTAGGGTTGATTTTAATACCGGCTTTGCCACCACCGAAGGGCACATCGACGCAGGCACATTTGAAGGTCATTAGGGCTGATAAGGCCTTGACTTCGTCGCGAGACACGTCCATCGAGTACCGGATACCTGAAAAAAAAATGCATTATGCAACCAACAAAACTAATTTTCTCATTCTATTTATTATCTAAATAAAATCTGTATAAAAGGAATTAAAATAACTAACCGTTAGTTTATGAACAGTGTTTTTGGTAAAAAACCCAACACACATTACAAGTTATGCAACCAGTAATTCATGTGTTTTTCTAATTAATCAAATTAATTAATTATTTGAGTATTATGTGTAAACAAATTACATTAACGATCATCAGGCGACTAATAATTTGAGACTGAAGGCGTTTTTGATAAAAATAAAATAAAACAAAATTTTAGCTATGCAACCAATAATACGCACAACTCTTGATTATTAATTGAATTAATCAATTAGAGCTTATTCCATATCTGGTGGCGAACTGACAGTGACAGAAAAGACACTTGGAGTGCGCCCACTTGCTTAAGATAAAAAAATACATGGGCGTACTTTTTTTCTTTAAAAATTTTGAAGACAAAGATTGTTAGGAATATCATTTTTGAAAATTCTTTTCATGCGTTAACAATTTAATAATTTGTTCATTATTCTTCATCTTATGTACGAGAACCTACTTATTATAATGTTTTAAAGAATAACAGTGGTTTTGAAATATTATTTCATACGACGCCTATGAACAATATTTTTTTTAATAGTAAACATATGTTTAGTGTCAAAATTCAGTCATTTTTGACAACGTCAGTTCGCCACCAGATTTGGAACAAGCTATACCTAAGTAATATTTGTAAGAAATTAAAATACCGAACATTAGTAATATTGGTAATTAGTTATACAAAATGTTTTTGATAAAAAATAAAAAAAAACGAGTAAATATGCAAAAAATTTACAAATTATTATTTTTAAATTATATACAGGGTGAGTCAATGATGCAGTAACAAAACTATTAAATAATCTAATAATATCAATAATAAACTATCTATTCAAAAATTGCAATTCTCAATCATACAGAATGTTTCATAATTTCAGGACAGCGTCAATTTTTTTTGCAAAAAATGGTAATCTACGTATTGTTTTCATAATCCCATTTGCCTTGAAGAGTTTTATACAACCGTGTTCTATTTTTCAATTTCACTTGCAGCGTTGCCAACTTAACGAATTTTAATAAATTTGAAAATATGCACATGTTGTATCATAAATCCTTCTAAATATTTCAGTTTTAAGAATAAAAAAGTAAAAATTCGCAAGTTGGTAAACAGAGCATTGGTATATTGTTCAATATAATTTATTTATACAGGGTGTTACCAAAAAAATGGTAATTTTTAATTCAATTTTATTAAATTAATTTTCTGTCTTTCACAGTTTTCAAAATATTACATTTTCTTTTAAAAGTATACTTCAAATGTGACAAGATTTTTCATGACTCACACTGTATACAGGGTGATTTTTAGCCGAAAATAAATAATGACATTTAAACGAATTTGAAAAATATTTTTTTATTTGTGAAATTAGGCCATAAATAAAAATTCTACAACGCATGCCGTTTTTTAAAGATCATCCTGTATAAAAATAAAGTGAAAAAAGTTTCAATTCAAAATTATTGACAACTATACTGGGTGACCCAAAAAACTAGTATATATAGCTTCTAAATCATTAATTTTTTTACTATTAATTACATACGAAATATTAAAAAAAAATTGTATTCCATGATACAAAGTGATTAATATTTATTTGTCAGGGGTACACAAATTCCACTATAAAAATCGCTCCCTGGCGTTGGAAACAATCTCAATTTTATTTATAGTTTATTTTTGCACATGATAACTTTCTGACTGTTGCCAAAAAAACAAGAAAAAACTCGAAAAAAAACCGACTGCAATTAATTATTTACATAACCTTTCGTTTAAAATTTTTCCCATCGTTTCATTTAATGTAATTTGATAATTAAGTGATAAGGAATATTGTAGAACAAATGTTACCAACCACTCGAGTGTTGTTTTATTTTTAAACACATTTCATTAATATTCAAGGACGTTGTCATTGAATTTATTCGAGTGGTTTTTGTAGAGAAAAAAATCGATCTGTAGTTTCGTTTCGAGGTGAAAATTTATTATTATTGTCCTTGTTGCGTAAAGGATCACAAGTTTTCGTGAAAAATAAATGATAAATATGACGCAAATCAAAAATCGGTTTGTGTTTATTTTTACGTTAACAGGTATCAAGTGTTATCATGTACCACTTTGATACCGGAGATTAAATAAGTATTAATCAAATATGTAATTTGAAAACACGATGGTTTAATTGATTAGTGTGTGAGAGATAACAATTTGCGGAAACAGCACTCGAAACTTTTTTATTGAGTTAATTATTTGTAATTGTGTTAAAATTATATGTTTCTTGCAAATAATAAAAAAAATAAACAATCGGATTTTGCAACTTTTTAACTAATTTCTTGCTTCATCACGCGCTGCTATCAATTTTTATTTATTCATTTCGTATTAATTATTAATAGAGGAATATTTCAAATACGAGTTTAATAAAATGTCACTTGCACGAATTATTTCTAAAGATGTTGAAAACCTCGAAAAATTTGATGTTTTAAACAAAGAACAAAAATAAAAGTATAATCTAAAATCGAAATTTGATGATTTTCACACACATTTTTCATGAACAAATTATTTTGATCAATTCAAATTTTTTTTGACAAAATTGGACTTTTTTCGGGTTAAAATAAAAATATTGGACCAAAAAAAAAACAGACGATTAACTGAAATTTAACATAATTGAGAAAAAATTATAAATACAGACAAAAACAATAAAAAATGTAACATTTTTTTTTTAATAATTTAATTCTTTAATTTAACTGGTGATGAAATAGTATAGTATTACAACCCAGTTTGGTTAATCTTAAATAAAGTACTTTTTCTCGACCAAGGGATGTAATGACATTTCCCGACCTCCAAAAAGCAAATTACTAGTGTTTTTGAATATCTAATTTGCTTTTCACAACTTTCTGGCTTATTATTGCACTTTGAAAATCTATTATTATTAGTTTTTTTTTTCATATTTTCTTTAAGTTAATAAAAAATAATAAAAAACTGCTAACCCTGTATTTGCAATTTTTAAAAAAGTCGCTAAAAATGTAATGCAATTTATTAAAATACAAAAAAAAGATGAATAAAAACAAAAACAATAATAAAAAACGAATTGACATTTTTTTCTAGTAATTTTTCGTAGTTGGTGATAAAATAGTACATTAGAGCCGTGTTATATTAGAGCCACGTTTTGTATACTATTTTATTCGCAATAACACTTGGTTTAAATAATATAATATTTGTGTTTCTGTCATTCTGTCTCGTAACCTTGGTATACAAAAATCAAAAGTAAAATTCTAATCTGAAATCAAAATTTAATGATTTTCACACAGTTTTCGAAAATTGAACAAATTATTTTGATCACTTCAAACTATAGATAATACATTTTTTTGACAAAATTTGACTTTTTTCTAGTTAAAATTTGTAATTAAATTCAAAAATATTGAACCAAGAAAACAGCAACTAGAGAAAATTGAGAAAAAATTATAAATAAAAATAAAAACAGTCATAAAAATTAAATCAACATTTTTTTTCTAATAATTTTTCGCAACTGGTGATGAAATAGTATATTACACCCAGTGTGATTAGAGCCCACCACCGACTCGTAACCTTGGTAATCTTACACAAAGTACTTTTTCTCAATCAACGGATGTAATGACATATTTCCCGACCTCCAAAGACCATACAGATTACTATAGTTTAGTTTTTACTTTTCACAACTTTTTGACTTATTATTGGACTTTGAAAATCTATTGTTATTCTTTTCATACTTTTTTAAGTTAATTGAAAATAATAAAAAACAGCTAACCCTGTATTTGCAATTAAAAAAACTCGCTTAAAATTAAGAAAAATTATTGTATAATTATAAACAAAAACAATAATAAAAAGTAAGTTGACAATTTCAGTAATTTTTCGCAAGTGGTGATGAAATAATACATTAGGATAGTCCACTACCACGGTTTGTATACTATTTTATTCCCAATATCACTTCGTTTAAATAATATAATGTTTGTGTTTGTTATTTTGTCTGGTAACTTTGGTACACAAAACACAATCTGACATAAATTATATCTTCCCGACCGTGGGATGTAATGACATATTTCCCGACCCCAATCCCTGTTTTTATTACATAATTTTAAATTAATTGAAAATGATAATAAACATTTTTTGCGTTTGATTGGCAGATATTTCTATAAAATTCGAATAATCAAGTGTCAATCATTTACGACTCAAATTCAGAATTGCCAACCCAAACCCGTTGAATTTTCATGCGTAGAAATAAATATACCGGGTGTTGTGAAATAAATAAAACTTTTCCCACGCTTATCATGAATGAGGCAACTTCAAGCACTTGCAGTTCCATTCATGCTTATCATTTTTACTCCTCTGATAAGCAAATTTATCAGTCGCCACACCTCTGGATAATTTTAGCCCGAGCTCTCGCTGTCTATTTTTGCCCCACTCACCTCCTTTGCAAGGCGTCCTGTGGGTGCTGTGCTGCGCCCGGTACCCCCTCACAATCTCGTACTCCCCATTATCCCTCCTAATGGGGAACGCCACCTCCAAAATGTGGTCGCATTGCTCCATCAGCGTCAGAATCCCCTTGACTTTGGCCTTGCGTTGGTCGAGGGTCAACCGACTCCCCTTCACCTTGGCCAAATCCTCCACCAACTTGTCTTCAACGAGGATACAAGACCGGTGGAAGAAATACTCGACCATGTCGAAGAAACGGGGGTTGGGGTGCGTGGGCATGTCTTTGAGCCGGTCAGGGATAACATGGTCGGCGTAGCCCCGGCTTTGGAGACACGGGACGACCTTCAACAAGGGGGACAGCTCGTTGAGCTTCGGGAGAGACTTAAGAGTCAACATCTTGACTACACGACTCAGCACACACTAAAAAAAAGGCTTACGTAATTAACCCCTAACCTCACTTTTCAGACCACCACTACCAACCTGACGCGATGAAAGTCACAAGAATGAACGCAAAAAATCAAAAACGGGCTTTTATCACACAAATGCAACGATAAGTGGGACCGAACGAGATAAAAACCCAGGCTTATCACACTGATAACGCGATAATTTTTAACCGTCTTACGTAAACGCAATTCTAACACCACTACTAGCAATCCGATAAAAGACACACAAATAAACCGCAAAATATTTTTATTACACAAATGCAACGATAATTAATTAAGTGACATAAAAACCCAATATTATCTCACTGAACAAATAAAAAAAATTTAAAAACACATTTGTTTGTATTATGTAATTGCGCATGCGCACACTATTGACAGTTGAGGTTATGTAATGTTGACAAAAATTTTGAAAATTGTTGATTTTGGTTGAATTTGGGCAATGGATGAGCAAGCACGCACGATTTGGTGTGGCAACCTATCAGAGAAGGTGACCGAGGAGCTCCTATGGGAACTTTTCTTGCAAGTGGCCCCCTTGGAACGAGTCCGGATTCCCACCGATAAAAGTGGCCGCAAGTCGTCTTATGGCTTCGTCACAGTCAAACACGAGTGTTCAGTTAGTTATGTTGTCCGTATGCTCGACGGTACTCCACTTTACGACCGTCGAGTTATAGTGAAACCGAAGGGACAAAATCAGAGGGATGCTCCCCAAGACAGGGGGCCCTACCAGCAACACAATCGGGCCCCTCACCGACCAGTGCCCTACCAGAGATACGATAATCACAAACAGAACTGGAATAATAATTATAGGAATAGGAGGCGGTATTAAATAAATTTTTTTGTAAAAAAAAATAAGTGTTTTATTGAAGTTAGATGAGGAAGACGATTCCGTCCGACATCATGACTTGGTTGTCTTCGGTCATGCGGACGATGGCTGCTTGGATTTCGCCCTGGCTGAAGGGGGCTGTATTGTCGGTGTTGAGGGTGTCACGGATGCGGGCCACACTCAGAGACTGCGCCCTAATGTCGCGGAAGGCCCGATGGAGCCCTGTACGAAACTGAGTCAATCTCTCATTAGTGATAGTCGCAGGAGTTGAGTCAATTTCCATTGTTTCTGACTCCTGAGTTGGCATTTCTTCATCGATTTCTTCCACTTGTCGCGATTTCTTCACCCTTTGGGACTCTTCTTCGTCCATTTCTTCCTCTCCAGAGTCCGACTCAGAGTTCCTGCGCCTCTTTTTCTTCTCCTTCTCTAGAACTTTCTTGAAATAGGCGAATTGCACCAGCTCGATGGCGGCATGGGCGTCTTGGGGGGCCACCACGCGAGACATGCGGGCCTTGGCGTGGGCCGTGGCCAACCGGATCATGGTTTCGAGAGTACGGGGCGTGACCGGTTGTGTCTAAAACCCCAATTTATCAATTTTTAGACCCAGAAAGGGGCGAAACTCACCCTCGCGACGTGGTTCTCGAGCATGTCCTCCGACCTGAGTTTGGAGTACTCATCGGCGATTATTTCCGAAGCTTGTTCGGTCAACGTCGGTTTGAGGATTTTCACGAAATGGATGTATTTTCGCATAAAATCGACACTTAGGATTTTATCGGTTTTTTTGCGACTTGTGCCGTGTAAAAGGGCGTCGTATTTCTCATACATGGGGGTCACTTTGTCGTCGTCGACCTCGTCGGGGCGCATGGTGCTTAACATGTCGACGCTTGAGCCCATTGGGAGCACTTCGCCGTCTTGCTCCCCAGGGTTCCTGAAAATTTTCATTTTTTTTTTACTAAACCATAATTTTGGGGCGTCCGAAAGTGGTTTCACTTTTCCCGTCGGCCTTATACTTTTCGAGAATTTTTTTTCTTTTTTTGATTACGAATTTCTGTCTCAAAAATATTCAAAACGTGGTTTTTGGGCCCTAAATTACGACGAGACCAGATAAAATGCTCTACGACAAACAGTTTCCGAGATCTAAATCACGACGAGAGCGGTTAACATGCTCTACGACGAACGGTTTTCGAGTTATTATTCGGCTATTTCGAGCGTTTCCATGCGCTGACCTTGAAATATCAAATCGATTTTTTACAGTTTCCTGTAATTCAACAAGTTATAATTATCTATTTTGAAAATTTGGAAAGGTTTTTTAAATTTCTGAGTAAATACAAGCCGCAAGAGAAGTTATAATCGGATTTATATTTTCTATATTTTTGACAATTTTCTCTACAACTGTTTATCGTAGGACATGGATTGTATATGATAGAAAATTAAATTTGCTTTCCAACGATCCCAAATCCAAGACGCTAGCGCCAATAGTTCCGGAGTTATTAGCAATAATGTATTTAAGAATATGTGGAATTAGAGCAATTAAAATAATGGAAATTGGAAAGAAGAAGAAATTAATCAAATAACACAAACAAAGAAGAAGAAAGAAGGAAGAATCAATAAAGGAGAAAAAAGGGGGAATAAAAAAGAAGGAAGAAGAAGGAAGGGGGAAAAAGAAGAAAAAGAAGGAAGAAGGAAGAAAAAAACAGGAAAAAGAAAGAAAGAAGAAGAAAAAAGAAAGAAGGAAAAAGGAAAAAAAAAAGAAAAAGAAAAAAGAAGATGGTAGACGGAAAAAAAGAAGGAGAAAGAACTAAGAAGAAAAAGAAAGAAAGTAGAAGAAAGCAATAAGAAGGAAGAAAGAAATGTAAGAAGGAAGGAGAAGAAAAAAAAGATGGAAGAGGAAGGATAAATGAAGAAAGAAGAACTCAAGTTCATAAAAAACACAAACTCACCTATATCTATGCATTCTAACCACGTGATCCGAAATCATCGAATCATGATCCTCATCAACCGAATCCAACATCACGAACAACAAATCAAAACGTGACAAAAGCGAATCTTGCAATCCGATGTTTTCCATTGGTGTCTTATATTGATCGTACTAGAAAACAGCCAATCAAATCACGAGTTAGAAACGCATCAACCAATCACATACCTTTCCATAAACCGGATTGGCGGCGGCTAAAACCGAACATCGGGCGTTCAAACTGGCATGGATACCGGCCTTGGCGATAGTCACACGTCCCTGTTCCATAACCTAAAAATAAAATAAAAATATAGAAAAAAAGTAAAAAAATAAAAAATACCCACCTCATGGATGGCAGTTCGGTCCATATCCGACATTTTATCAAATTCATCAATACAAACAACCCCACGATCAGCGAGGACCATAGCCCCGGCTTCAAGACGCCTTTCACCGGTCTCCTGATCGGTTGTAACCGCTGCGGTTAAACCCACACCGGAGGAACCGCGACCGGTGGTGGGGATAGCACGAGGGGCGGTGCAAAGCACATACCTGTCAAAAACACCCAATCACAATCGACTAAATTTTAAAATCTAGTCAACTCACCTAAGGAGTTGCGATTTGGCAACACTGGGATCACCAATCAACAACACGTTTATATCACCCCTCAGTCGTGTCCCATTGGGCAAAACCTTTTCAACTCCGCCCAAAAGAAGGCACAAAATCGCCTTTTTAATATACTCATGGCCGTGTATAGAGGGCGCTAATGATTTGGCCAACAAATTGAAAACGTTTTTGTTAGATTTTGCCAAATTCTTGCATTTCGCAACGTCTTCACGTGAGATCGAGGGGTTCGCCTCTTTGCTCAATTGGGACACATTGTTCGCAATCACCACAGTACTGAAAACGTTAAAAAACAAAATGAAAAATAAAATGGAATTTTGGTACCAATCTTCAAATTCTAAAACTACTAGTGTCATTCAACGTTAAGAAAAAAGTTACCAGATTTAAAATTCAGCGCCAATTACTATTATTATTATTATTATTACCGGAAAATCCCATTGGTGAAGCTCCCCTGTTTGTTAGGGAGACAGCGGTAATTACCGACGACTTGGATTCGGTCCCCCGGTTTGCACTTATCAACGAGGTCATTATCGCAGATGATGTCAACGGAGCGGGGCAACTGCCCCGCTGGGGCTTTTTCAGGCATTTCCTGAATAGAAATAGTCTGATGGTCTTTATAAACTGAAAGCCCAAACTCAGTCTCCAATAAATTGCCATCCTCATCCTGAAACACCGAAATTAATTGAAAAAAACGCTAGTTAGACATGACTGACTTTAGTGGGGTACACCGATGATGTGGGGAAGGCGTCCAAAGACGTCAAATCTGTGTATTTCCTCTCCATCACTTTTTTTGTCACTGGACAATAATGGACACTTCTTACGACCTTCGGGTGCACCAACGAGCCTTAAAAACAATATAAAAACACTCGAAAAACCTCGACAAGCCCTACATTTCGTGACAATCCCCTCAACACAGACCAAATTCCCCAAAAACCGCGACGTTAGCGTCCTTGGAGTAACATGCTTATTCCCAAAACTCCCCTCAAAAGCAATGAAAAACTCATCGTGGTCCTTTGCATAATCGTGCGCGACGGTGTACACATACTCTTTGAGGGCTTTTTGACACGCCGACTGCTCCTCAAAAGCGTTGGTGAGGAGGGCGGAGGCCCTCGTTGGATTTTTACGCCGCAAGTCATTGACATTTACCACAAGCCTCAAACTGTGATCAGCAACCATGTTTTTGACCAGTGTGGCGTACTTGCCTTGGTCTTCCTACGAAAACAGGTTAAAAAACGACAGCCCCCTTGTGACACCAAACACGCACCTCGTCGTCGAGAAAGTCCAAGTATTCGCGTTGGATGTCGCGGAGGCGCTGGTCGAGCTCCTGGGGGTCCATCCTGAGACACAAATTAACACAAAAATCAACGAACAATGAGACAAACAACTGGGAAAAGTTTTGGCGGGAAAACAACCTAGGGGATTTGATGGAGTCATATTGGTATTGTAGTTGTCAAATGTCATTTTCAATTAATGTTTTTTTGTGATTTTAAACATGAAAATAACAGGTTTTTTCTTCTTAATTCACATAATAAGCAACAGAGTTAAATACTTTGGTGTTAATTGTTGTGATAGATCATTGCTGGGGTGGTCCGCTGTAAATTTGGGGTTTTTCGTTGCCATTTTGACGTTTTAAGTGTCAATTGTGTAGTGGGGTTATTGTGTTTTTTTTTTTTCAATTAAGATTGTTTTAGTCGGTGATTAGAGCATTGATGATTGAGAGGAGGCCCCCGGGTTGATTTCCGTGCAAGCCCCCCTTTAATCATGAATGTGTTTCAGCCATGTCGCAACACCTCGGACACGGTGCCCCTCTACCTGCCCCAGCAGCTCTACCTGAAACCAGCTGCTTGTTTGACCATCTCCATCCAATTGCCCAACATAAAAAAGCTGGAAAAGAGCATTTCCCACTGGGAAATCATGGAAAAACTGCGCTCTTTGATCAGCCCCGACGAGTTCAGTGTCCTAAAAGTGTCCAAAACTACTCTCAACTTGGTCCGATTTGAGGCCGAACTCGAGAATAGGACTCGCTTAGAGCGTGTCGTGTCCAAACTGGACAACAATTCCATCAAATTGAAGGAATTCCCCGATTTGTTGCGGGTGAAAGCGAGCGAAGTGAGGACTGAATTTCCCACGAGGCATAAATGGGACGCGTTTTTCCAAGAGGCCAAAGATATGGACGAGATGAAGCCGGGGCAAAGGCCCGACACCGTGCACATCTCTAATTTACCCCGGAAATGGTTCGTTCCTTATCATTTAGCCGAAGACGAGGATGCAACACCATCGGAGAAAATGTTTTACCGGATTTTTGAAAAGTTCGGACAAATCCGGTTTGTGGATATTCCGGTGTGTGACCCTTACCGGAAGAAAATGAAAGACCACATTTCCGGGATTAAGGCACATCCGGTCGATGACAAGGATTTTTTCGAGGGTTATGTCCAATTTAAGGATTACATCGGGTTTACCAAGACTATGGATGCCCTTAAAGGGATGAAATTGGTCCGAAAAGAGGAAGATGAGGCATTTTGTGTCAATATTAAGGTCGATTTTGACCGTTCGAAGCACTTGAGTGATGCCTCAATACGTCGAAGAGAGATAGTGAGAGATAGACTTGTGAAAAAACAACGAGAGAAAGAAGAAAAGGAAAAAAACGAGTTGGATGCTAAGAAAACAAAAGAACTTGATGAGAGGTGTGGCTAAAAAATGTTTTAAAATTTCCGGCCTCGGGTGTCTAACCGCTTGTGTCAATTATAGGCAAAAAGAAATAACATTGAAGAGTGAAAAGGAGCAAAGACGGCGAGAACGTGAACAAAAACGCAAAGCTAAACTACTTGAAAAGCTAAAAATCAATAGTTGTGACGAAATTAACGATAAAATTGCCAAAGAAGAGAAAAAATTGCTTAAAGCTCAGCGCAAACTCGAAGCTATTAGACTTGTGGAAGAATTATTTAGACGAATTAAGGTACAAATCAAATTTTTTACCACACAAAAAATTGTTTCGGTTTTAGGAAAAAAAAGACGAGTTACATATGTATAGTAAGACTAAAAGTGCAAGTGGGGATGAAGTAAGTTTTTTTTTAAATAATACAAAATTTGGGTAATTAAATTTTACAGCTCAAGAGATTCAAAGATATGAGCGAATTAGAAGTTTTGACCCAACGACAGAAGCTTCACAATGCTATTGAGGGCAGAGTCGTATTAAAAAATATTTTATCGGGCAAAAAAAAATCACGTAGTCGGTCCTCGTCCAGCTCTGATACTTCTCTATCACTTGATAATGACCGAAAAGGTACTTTTAATCAAAAAAATAAGAAAATTTTGTATGACATATATATTTTTTGACATTAGAATGACATTAGAATGAAAATTTCAATGACAGAATGTGACAAACTTGGTTAATTGTATCAAAAAGGGAATTCTAACTGTTAAAAAATACAGGCTGTTCCATTAAAAAAAATAAATTTTTAACTCGTTTCACGGTTATGAAACACCCTGTATATGTATAATTGTTTCTAAAACGTCGCCTAGTCACAGCTTTATCACACTGTGAAAACCGTTTTTTGTTATCTTATTAAATAAAGGCACAATTCAAGGATACACAAAAAATGACACACCCGGTATATATCTCAAAATTTTTTGTTTCTGATTTTTAGATCGTAACATTGCCTCTGAAGTGGTGTACGACCCCACGTGGTACAACTACCCTATTTACCCGCCCCCTATTCACGTGTACCCCCCTCGTGGCCGGTACCCCCTCCCGGGTCCGTCTCGAGGTCGGCCTTTCCGGGGTCGGGGTTTCCGGTCGCGCTACCGAGGGGGTTATCGGGGGAAGTACTCGCATTATTCCCCCGAAATGGAGGAGCAGTATATGCGCTACTTTTCGAAATTCTTCTCGGAGCATGATCGAAGGTCAAGGTCACGAACAAGGTCGAGGTCAAGGAGGAGTTATAGTCGTTCGAGGTCGAAATCGAGACATCGGTCGTATAGTAGGTCATCGTCAAGGTCGTACACGCCCAAGAGGACGAGAAAAAGGTCGCGGAGGTCAAAAACGAGGTCTAAAAGTGTGGATAGTTCGAAGTTTGTCTCGCCGAGGAGTTTGAGGAGGAGGTCTAAGTCGTGGTCGATGCCAAGGAGTGGGGAGAAGGGGAGGTCGTGGTCCAAGTCGCCATAATTTTTTATTACGAGTTGAATAAAGTTTTTTTTCTATTATTTTGTTTTGAAATTCCCCATAAAACTACTCAATTATCGTGAAATAGGTCAAAAGTACAATTTTGGTAAATTATCGAGTAACAACACACAAATTAAAACCAATTTTTTGCATTGTACCAAATATTTACGTCCGGTGACACTTCACGCAACTTGCTTACAAAAATAACCTTTAAACAGTTTACAATTCGCCATGATTTGGTCTACATTGTCTCTATTTGTCTTTATTTCCCTCAACGAAGCCCAAATTTACTCACAATCAGGTAAAACTCCCCAAAAAAAAACAATTACCGTAGGCAATATTACAGGTTTCTGTAAAACGGCTACTGGATGTAAAAAAATCGTGACTCCGAACAGCACCCCAAGCCCCATTGTGCAAACAAATCGACCAACCACTAGTAATGACACAGTTAACTCAATTTAATTAATTGATTGTAGTTCCTTTTCCGGTACCAACCATTCCGACACAAACCCCCCCAACTCGCGTCAGCGCCGCCACTACAAGTAACCACAAAGTGTGAAATCCCCCAAATACTCAAATTCTGTTCTAGAATGTGAAGAGTACAAACACCGGATCAAAAAACGCGCCTCTGTTGTAACCTACATTTTTGGTGGTAGCGCCTCTCAAAGCCGGGAATTCCCCCACATGGTAACCCAATCACTGACTAAAAAAACTAAAATCCCTAGTTCTTTTATTCTAGGCGGCCTTGGGTTACGGCCAACCAATTGAATGGCTCTGCGGTGGGAGTTTAATCAGTGAACGTTATGTTTTGACAGCCGCTCATTGCCTAGCAACATCAAATTTGTCCGCCATTTTATTTCCAAAATTCGAATTTTTGACAGTTTTGTTTCAGGGGTGAATTAGTCAAGGTTAGACTCGGTGACCTTGACCTTCAAAGTGTGGCAGATGACGCCCAAGCCCAGGATTACACAGTGTCTCAAAAAATCATACACCCGAATTACCACGCGCCGGCGCAATACGACGATATAGCTTTAATCAAATTGGACAAGGATGTCCAATTTAGCCCTTCTATAGCCCCCATTTGTTTGGAAACCCTGACAAACTTGCCCAATTACAATTTCATTGCGACAGGATGGGGCAAGACCGAAGTCGAGGGTCCCCAGAGCGATATTTTGATGAAAGTCGACTTGGAGTATTTTTCAAATCAAATTTGCCGCCAAAATTACGCCAACGTTGCCAGTGAATACCTGTCAAAGGGGATCGACGACAAGAGCCAGATATGTGCAGGGAGTCGCACCACCGAGAAAGACACGTGTCAGGTTGGCAACATTGCAGTAAAAATACACGTTTATTTTGGCAACACTGTATTATAACTTATAATAATGTGGCAACGTTGCATCGGTTGCATAATTTTCTTATTTTCTAGGGCGATTCGGGGGGTCCCCTTCAAATCCGAATTGACGTCCTATATTTAGTCGGGATCACGTCCTTTGGAAAGATTTGTGGTATCCCAAACAGTCCTGGGGTCTACACCAGAGTCTCATATTACGTACCTTGGATCGAAAAAATCGTTTGGCCTCAATAATAAAACTATAACCTCAAAATTCGAATCAATTCATTCAAAATTTCCACACTCCTAAATGCAATAATCCCACCCGAGTTACATACTTTTTTTTCAGTGTATGTAACACTAGTTATAGAGTTATTTATTAAGGCGTCCCCATAGACGACAATATCGCCCCCTAGGGCTCTTAAAATGGCTTGAGGGCCACAAGTATCCCATTTAAAAGTCGTATCTTTTGTTAAAATATAAGCATCAGCTTGACCGGTTATAACCGTTAGGATTTTATAACCGGCACCTGACGCCTCAATTAGGTTATAACCGTTTTCGGTTAGTTTGGTTATAACCTCAGGTGTTTCGCTACTGCTAACACATACGGTTTTGGTGCTGGGGGGTGTTGGAGGGAGGTTGGTTTCAAGGGGATGCCCCCAGAAACAAGTCCCCCAAGGCTGATTTATTACCCCCACCACAGGAAGTCCTGTCTTTTTATCAAAAACCCCTATAAGAACCGTGACACACTTTAAACCTCTTATAGTAATCCCATTAGTAGTTTCCTCAATCCCGTTAATATACTCGGCTGTGGAATCTTAAAATAATAATAATAACAATAATAATAAATAAAATAGGAGATATACCCACCAATTGGGTCTACCCAAACCCCAATTTCCTCGCCCAGAGTAAACTCAATGCTCGGATTTTGCCTCGTCTCGAGTAGTAAAACTTCATTATGCACCTCGTGCGCTAACAAATCCGCAGCTTGGCTATCTTGATTTAAAACAATACGGAGCAAGTCGGCTGTGGCCTCTCGAGTGTCTTTTATTTCAACAGTGATGGAATCCCCGAGTTTGTTAAGAAAAGTGTTGGTTTCTTCGCCGAAAATGGACGATTTGAGTGCAGGGAACTGTATTACCGGCAATGATAAAACACAAAATTGAATGATAAATGTGCTCTGAGGGGGCGCTATTTTGGAATTAGTTGTACAAATTTTTGGAATTTTTTTTTTTTTGAATTATTGGATTTTTTGGAATCACTGGAAGTATTTTTGAAATTACCGAAGACAACTTCTTTTGAAAATACTTTGAATTTCTTAAAACTATCGGAATAATTTGTAATTACAGAAATCATTTCAGAATTACGGAAATTAAGTTGGAATTATAGGAAAAAAATTATATTACGATGAATTATTTAAGTTTTGGTGTAATTATTTCAGAATTGCTGGAATTTCGGTGGAATTTTTTGGAATTACGATGGAATTTTTTAAAGTGGAATTAGTTGTGCACATTCTTTCCAAGTAATTGGAAAAGATTTGGAATTTAATCGAAATTGCTTGGAATTCCTTGTGAATTACTGGATTTTTTGGTATTACTGGAATTATTTTTGGAATTATCGGAGACAACTTTTTTTGAAAATACTTTAAATTTCTTAAAACTATCGGAATTAATTTGTAATTACAGGAATTATTTTAGAATTACAAAAACATGTTGGAATTGCAGGAATTAATTTGGTATAATAGGAATTAATTGAAAAACAATGATACTACAATGGATTATTGGACTTTCGGTGTAATTATTTTGGAATTACATACTGGAGTTTCGGTGGATTTTTTTGGAATTACTGGAATTTCGATGGATTTTTTTGGAATTACGATGTAATTTTTTGGAATTGCAATTAGTTGTGCACATTTTTTTCACTTTTTTCTTACTTTTGCGCCAATGTCGTGTTGCACCAACTGCTGGATGAGGACGTCGGCCAAAGTCTTGAAATCTTCAACAAATCGCGAATTTGCCTCTCTTTCGCTCTTCTTCTGGATGAGAAGATTGAACAAGTGGTGGTTTTGGCGGCACAATCGGGCAATATTTGCCGCTTTTTCCGAAACTATGATCAATTCCTGCAACAAATCCATGACTTAACCTCACAAATGCGATTTTCCTGCAAAAGTAGCAGGAATTGTGAGTCGATGCGATGCGTATTGATTTCTGCGTCGATTCGGGTCGCGCTTCAAATATTGATAGTTTTGAATTTCTTTTAGTGAAATGTGAAAGTTGAGTCGGTTATTGGTTGTAAAATTTTTCTTTAGGAGTTTAAATTTTTTATTATTGGAGATGAATCGAAAGGTTGCGTTTCAAAACAAGTTTTATTGTCTCGATATTTTTAAAACGGAATATATGATAGAAAATGTTCATGAACTGGATGGAAAAATTAATTTTATTTAGTTATTGGAACTTCAAAGGGGATAAGCTTTCAATGGAAGCAAATTTTATGCATTCAATATCCACGGAAACAGATTTATTTATGTGAAGTTGGCCAAAGAGCGCAGAAAATGCGGATTTCCTTGAAAAATTGTAGCAAAACCCAATTTTTTATTTAGTTAAATAAATAAATTACGACCATCGTTAGAAATAATCAAATAAATAGGAGAAAAAAAGAAAAACAAAAAGCAAAAAAACTGAAAAAAATTAATGCAGAGGGAAAATAAAAAGTTTCAAAATACTGATGATCACCTTAAAACTTTGTGCCGAAAATAAAAAATGTTTTACTAATTTTTTTAAATTCTGGCTCAAAAATTACAAAGATATTATCAGCTGATCAAAAACTATGAAACCAAACGTTTTTTGCTTTAACTATTTATTTTTTCAATGAATAAGTTTTTTGAACTTTTTATTTGTTTTGCAAAATTTTAATTTTTTTTTTAAATATCTACGAGTATCTATGTTTTTTAAAGAGACGATTTAAAGAATTACAGTTATCTACATATCATTCAAGTTCTATCAAAACAAAATTCGTATACAGTAGAAGAAACAAAAAAAGTTGCAAAAAAAACAAACTTACCTAAGTTAAAAACTGTGAGGCAAAAATAGAACTAAAAATATGCAAATATACAATTGTGGAACTTTAGTCATATAAAGGTGTCCCAAAGATAAAAAATTATTAAAGTTGAAAAAAATATAATAAAAGTTAGTAAAATCTAGTAACCCTAATATGTAGAACAATTATGACAGGTGTTTTAAGTTCCCGTCAAAGCTATCCATGAAAGTCTGATTGTGAACAAACCATCGGACTGAAAGTTATCAATCTAACATTTGACACCTCGTCAGGCGTATTAAAAATTGTGGTCCGTTCACAACACACTCATCACCGCCAACTATGACACCAAATTTAAATAAACATTTGTTATAAGGATTCTTTTTTAATTTTTTTATAATTTATATTTTTGGTTAACACATTTTTTATATTACTCTAATTTATATTAATTATTATTTTCTGGAGGCAAACGATTAAAAATAAAACCGCTTGGTTCCATACTTTATATTCACGCTGTATATATGTATCTATCTATGAAAATTTCGAAGTTATGGGAGTTTAAATTTTGACTATTTATTTCTTTTGGAAAATAATTTTCCAAGTTTTTTTGCTACAGGCTATTAGAAGAGGAAACAAGGAAGCTGTATCCTAAATTGTAACTTTCTTTAATGTTATTTGTGGCTTTTATTGGCAAAATTTTTGTACCTTTATTAAACAATTGTAAAAAACGTATCATCAGTATTATTAAATAGATTTTGGGGAGGTGATTTCTTAGATCAAAATAAGAAAAAAGTTCCTCTGCTATACATTGGTGAAAAGAGAGAAATGTGCAAAACTAGTTGTCTTTTCTTACCGATATACTTTTCGTTTTATTAAATCAAAAAATAAGCAATTGAAAAAACAAAAAAAAAAGATAAAGAAAAATTAACGTTTATAAAAACTAAAAAAAAATTGAAAATTTGATGTCTTTAGCCATAAAATAAAAACAGTTTATTTTTCTTTAAATTGCTGGTGGGGTAGTGTGAATTAAGAACACAACATGGTCTCCGTCTGTTTTTGATATTTGACAGCTTCTGACATTTTGGTATTAAAAAATTAACGTTTCTTCCTGGTATTAGGTTTTAATAGGGCTTAAATGACGATTGTTATGATGATGAGGGTTTAAATATTAGTCACAAAACAGTTTTCCTCAATAAAAGTGAAATTACAAATAAGTAAATAACCTACGTGACAGTATGACACACTTTTGACGTACGTCACTAGCTCTGTGTCACATTTGTTAAAGTGAGATAAATCACCTGACCAACCTAACGCAAAGGGAGAGAACAACAAGGCTGTTTATAAATGTTGGAAAGAGATAGCAATTTGGTACGTATTTCGAATTTATTTACATCATCTGAAATTAAGATAGTATAAAAAGAAAAACGTTTAATATGATTTAGTCATTTTATGTAGAATTTTCAAGTTGCACAATGATTCATTTCAAATTAAAACTATTGTTGGTTTTGTTTCTGAAACTAACGCATGGGACAGAAAGCCATTATTTGCCAATCCCTAGAAACCAAGAAAATCTCTATGATTATTCTTATTTGGTAAGCAAAAAATAAAACAATTCTATCAAAAAACGAAAAATTGAAACAGGTTCAAATTTGGATCGTTGACAGAGACTTCGACTTTTGTTCGGGTGCATTCATCACTCAAAAACATGTGATAACGTCTGCTTCTTGCTTAATTGATTTAATAGATTATCCTGAAGATTTTGGTGATGACCCTTATAAGTTTAGAGCAACTGATTTTCTTTCTTCTACCAACTTTTCTATCTCAAAATTATCAGTTTATCCACAATACGTGTATCCATATTTACACAACAACATTGCAATCTTAGAACTAGAAAAAAGAGCTAATGTACAACCAATTCCACTAAATTTTGAGCCCCTTTCTGCTACTTCATTATGTGACAATGTATTCTGGAACAGATATGTTCAGGTAATTACAATTTTTCGTAGAGTTCAAAATGTTGCTGTTTGGTTTTAGAAAAACAATTCGCTGGTTATATCATCCACAATTTATCCAGTCAGCATCAAAAAGTGTACAAATGTCAGTATGCCGCTTATGGAGACATATAGATATGGAATGATTTGTGGTGAATTAGTATTTAAAAATCCTAATACTACTTGGGAAGTAAGTACCTACAGATGACCCAAAGGGGGTGCGTAATCGGTCTATAATTTGTTGTTTGTGTTGTATACAGATTTGTAAACCAAAGTTACATTTTTTAAATAGAACACTCTATATATTCTTACATTATTAGTTTCTACGTAAAAAAACAGTGGTGCAACACTTTGTATACAGGGTGTCCTAGCGAATTGAAAAAGTCCATTAGTGATCTTTAAATAGTAAAATTTAAAAAAATGTAAAGGACATTGATAGATACTAATCTAGCGCATCACCTAAAGTCTGTTTTTTTTAATGGAAATTACCAAGTCAAAATTTTGATGAAAAAATTGGTAGCAGCTTATTTCCGTAGCCACAAATTTTGTTTGTTTTTGTCCCTAGAAATATTGTTAAAAAAATATGGTTATGTTTTCATGCAATTTTGATTTTGTGTTTGTTCTTTGTAAGCCTTTATAACCGAATAACAAGGATCACTACCTACTGTCCAAAGACAGAATTCCGTGCTAATAATATTGATAGAACCCCAATGTTGTGGACAAAAATCAGCTTCTTACTACAAAAACTTTAATAAAAAAGGGTGTCTATACAGAAAAAAGATATTTTGCAAAAGATACAAGCAGGGTTTATGAAAATCAGCAATAAATTTTGTGTAATTTATTAAAATAAACTCAAAATTGATGCATTTTCTAAATTCTCCTTCGGCTTTAGTTTCAAAATTGTTACTTTTTCAATTCGTTTTTTAAAAACGGTGCAACCAGACCTACTAATTTAATTGCGTTCTTTCTCTTTGATGTTTATGTTGTATTCTCATAAATTTCTTACTAAAAGTTACAGAATTTTAGCAAACCTACATTACAATCTGCGGCTAAATTTTAGCGGTGGTCTTTTTCTGATTTCTGCTTGCACACTTTTTGTTTTCAAATTATTAAAAACTGTTCGCGGTTTTCAATATGTCTCCGATTTTGTGTTTTCATTTCTAAATTTTTTAGACGATTTTTTGCTGACTTTTAATGACATTTTTTTTAAGCAAATCAAAAGCCGGAACTGCCAACATTCTTTATTAAAATTACCATGAATGAATTTGTTAGAGGTGCCAACGTTAAGACTGTTTGACATTTCTATTTAATAAAAAAACAGACTTTAAAATTATTTTCAACCATACAGCACGTTCCAAAAATAAGTTACGATACAAACTTGTGTTTTTTTAAATGAAACATTGTATGTTTCTTTGCATTTTTGGAAGTAATGTTTTAAAACAATGTTTTTACGTGAAACTTTAATTAGTCGATTTTGCTTAGTTTTAAAAATAAGATTTTTTGACGAAAACATGCACTTTTTAAAAATTTATTACACAAAAACTAAGACAGCTTGAACAAATTTTTTCTTACTTCTGCAAAGAAGAAAGTACGGAATTAAAGCTGTAGCTTCAAGTGTTTTCCATTTGTAAACATTAATAAATTAAGAACTTTGTTAAAAGTTAAATAATTAAAAAAAATTAAATGGGACACCCTATTTTTCATTTTTGCATCTAATAGATCGATAAATTGTCTACCTAAAGAAATAAACTTTTATGTTTAGAATTGATAAATGAAAAGATATTTAACATTTAATATTAATTGTAGCAACAATGCCTATTAATATCTAAGCATTCTTGATACTATGGCTACCATAGTAATTCCATCACGGATTACTTATCTGTTGATTTATCCAGAGATTGTAAAAGTCGTTATAAATACTGAAATTCGAATTATTTTATTGTAAAAATAAAGAATAATGGATTCAGTTTAACACAAATGTGATTATTAAGTAATATTTCTTCTATCTATTATGCAACTGTACACTTTGGCTACTGAAACAATAGTAATTTTTTTTTTTAATGTTTAACGTTAAATATCTTTTAAGTTATTGATTATAAACCCCTAAAAGTAAATAATTTTTGGAAAGACAATTTAATAATTTTTTAAATGCAAAAACAATAAATTGGGTGTTCCATTGAAATTTTTTAAGTTATTGAACTTTTGACAAACGCCTTCATTTTTTTATCTTTGCAAAAGCAACACACTAAGAAAATGCTACAACCTTATAGCTTGTACCTTCTTCTTTGTGGTAGTAAAAAAAATATTTCTAGATGTCTTAGTTTTTGTGTAATAAATTTTTAAAAAGCGCATGTTTTCGTCAAAAAAACCGTCTTATTTTTAAGACTATGCAAAATCGGTCAATAAAAGTTTAGCTTAAAAACAGTGTCATAAAAATCTAAATCCAAAAACGCTAAAAAACATTTAGTGTTTCATTAAAAAAAACACAGGTTTGTATTGTAACTTATTTTTGAGACATGCTACATAGTTGAAAATAATTTTAGGCGATGAACTAAATTAGTATCTATCAATGTCTTATATAATTTATTTTTAATTTCATTATTTAAAGGTCAATTTGTCCTTTTCCAACTTGCTGGGACACCCTGTATAATAAAAATTATTTTAGACGATGCACTTGTTTGGTAAATCTACCAAATGTTGAAAACGGCATGTCAATGTATCAAGTAACAAAAATGTTATAAACCGATTACACACCCCTGAGTCAGCCTGTATGTTTGAACATTTTGATAATTTTTATTTCTGGTTAGCCACATGTAGATACACCACTTGTTTGTCATGGGGCTTTAAGTGGATTTTTTTTGCTGTTTGAAGAAGATGTAGATTCGTATTTATTTACTGATTTACAATATTATCTACCTTGGATTATGAAAACTACGATATCGTTAGATTTGTCGCAAATACTTGCACCTTAGTGATAGCAATATGTTTATTCTAAAATAATTATATCTTGTAAAGGGCGTAGAAAATGGTAAAGGGTAAAAATTGGTGAAGCTTCAATTAGGTAATATTCGAATTACTTCTGTGACGTTGCGAATGGCGGAATAGCTTTGTTCGCAGTGACAATCCTGAACTAGTTCAGGCATCAAATTCATGAGCGGTACACAATCTAAAGTTTATTTTGATTACGTCCGTTTAGAATTTGTTCTAAAAATGCTCCGCGAACAAAGCTAATAACGAGTCAGTCTTATGGCCCAGCTTTGCCATGAATAATTTGAATTATTAATTAATTTGTAACAATTATTGTTTGAATAAATTACTGAGAAATTGAATGAGTGTTTATTTCAAGAAAAATAATTGTTTATAATCTAATTCAGTCTTATGTAAAAATAAAGTATGTAAAATAAAATCCTTTGTCTTTCTCCTAACAGGAATAAAATAAATAAACTGGAAATATTTTGAATATTTTCCCTCTTCTTTTGATTTATTTTCCAGAAAAAAAATTTAAGTAAGATAAGATACCAGGAACATAGAAGAAATGTTTAAAAAATTTAATCTGTCAAAAAATTTTGACATTTATTTTTTGACATTTGACATTTTTTTATGTGTATTTAATAATATTATTGACTTCGTGTTTTTTTTATAATTATTTAGTAAAAAAAAAAATTTTGACAATAAAAGCTTCAAATAGCTTTAAACAGATTTAAACTTTGTTTCCTCTTCTAATAGCCTTAGAAAGTTATTTTTCCAACAAAATAAGTAGAGTCAAAATGCAAAGTTTAAACTCGCATAACTTTTATTTTTATTTTTATAGATAGAATTTTTTTAACATTTTCTCCATGTTCCTGGTATCTAACCTTACCTGGCTTTTTTCTCTTGGGCGCGAGTTATGGCGCTCCCTGTATATTACAATATGTATATCAAAGTGGCCGCTGAGCCGCTGTGTTTTTTGTTTTTTTCCATTAATTATATCGCTACTTTTGACTTTAAATGTTTCGAACAAAGTAAGTTTTTCCATCCTAATTTCTGAAAAGAAAGAGGCCAATTACCTCTCTCATCTGTCAAAATTATATTAAAAATATATGTAACCTCTCAGGAAGGTAAAAATTTTAAAAACAGAAAAACATAATTATTGCTAGATTTAATGGTAAAACTGAAATATAAAGAAAAATTGTTAGTTTTGAAGTTTTTCTTGCTGGATTGTAGGAAAAATTATATGTATTACACAAGTGTTGGAAAGTAACTTCTACCCTTGAGATACAAATAACTATAACTTATTGTCTCACGTTTTAAACACTAAAATGTCAAATTTATTGTTCCTTTTTCTTTAATTCCACTCAACAAATTATTTTATCTTACAGGTTGAGTTTTTGAGCTACCTTAGACCATTGTTTTCGGTGATAGAAATCAAATATTATTCACAAGTGAGATAAAGTACTCACAAGTGAGTAAATTTGACTAATATATTATATTTACTATTATATTTTTATAGGTGAATATTTTACTTGAATGAAACTTTGTTTTTTGGATAGTTGCACATGTAAGATAAAACGTCGTATATCACACGTGATCGAAATACCATTATGAAACTCGTGAGAATTCTCACTCGCGTATAATGATGCATTTCTATCACTTATAATATAATGTACTATAATACTGATGCTTAATGAAGAAATAAGAACTAAACTTGATAAAATAAAAGAAACTGTATAAGGTGTTATTTTTGTTTTATCCAATTGCATACAGTTTTTATACATATCTATTATCTGTCTTTTTTTGTTTTGCACGATCACACTTTCCGGAAAAAAAAGAAATGCTCGAATTGCCCACAATATTTTTTCTACGATTGACAAATACCCTTATTTGCGTCGTCTCATTTTTGTAAAAGATGATCAAATAAGCAAATATAATTTCATGGTTTATGCTCCACTACGAATTCATCGGCTAAAAAAATATTCGAATGGGAAAACCAACACAACTTATTGTCTTATTTATCCCAGGTAAATAACTCGTAATTTTTTTCTCCTTTTCTTCCTCTCCGGATTTATCAACATCTCAATTACGTCGAATGAAAGTTTATGTTGTATCCGAAAGCGATAAAACTTCTTAACGGCCGTTAACTTAAAAGTTTTACAAATGGACAATAATAAAATAATCTCTCAAACGTCCCGAGGGAATTTGGGGGATATTTGTGACGTTGGAGAGTCACTAGAGGATTTAAAACCTTTCTCAAGTCGAAAATTCATTTTTTAAACACGTTTAATACTATCATAAAGGGACAAAATTATAATTCTTAAATAAAATTTTTATATTTTGTAAGGTTGGTAGTGTGCATTTGTAATTTAAATACTAAAATAAAAAATAGTAAAGACTAAAACTTTTTGCAACCAGTTTCTTTTTTTAAAGCACTCATTTTAGTGGTGAAATGAGTGAAAATCTTATTTTTACAAGGTTGGTAACGCTTAAAATTTTTAATAAAAGTGTTGAAAAATTTAATAAAAGTACTTGTTTTTTTATTACTGTTTTCAATAGGCAAGGCTTTTATTTAAAATTTTATCATTACTTTATCATTACCAACTGTTTAAAAAATAAATTACTAAGTGTTTAAATCAAATCAAAAAACCGAATTGATTCCATTTTTAAAATTTGCGGCAAAAATTTATTAAAACACTAATTTTGGTGCTAAATTAAAACGAATTTTTATTATTTTTTAATAGGTTGGTGGCATTTTTTGCATTCATTTTTTTTTTAAATAACATGAATGTTTTTCTATTTTTTTAATGCAATCAATAGTAGTGGTTTATTACAGTGTAACCAACCGTGGCTCAATTATTTAACATTTTAGTAAATTATAGTGCTACCAACTACCAACAACGATTAAAAATGAAGTTTGTTTAAAAAGTTTAAAATAAGTATATAAAAACCCTCAATTCAGTGATGAAACGAGAGGAAATTTTATCTTTTACAAAATTGGTAACACTTAAAATTTCTAAGCTTTTATTACCTATTACATTGCTACCAAGTGTGACAAAATTTTAACTTTATATTACTTTTTACAATTATATGATGTTTGTAGCATTGTCTCTGTTTTTAGTGTTATTAGATTGCTACCAACTGTATCACTAAGTCTTAAATGAGTAATTACACCACTCAAATCCCTGCTTTTAAAATTCACTTATTGTATTTAAAATTAAATAAACAAATAATTGAACTGCATGTTTTTTTAATTTTTAATTGCAATGATAATGGTTTACTGCAGTGTTACCAACAACGGCCAAAATTTTAGTAATATTGTTTTAGTTGTTTTTTAGTAAAAAAGTGATGTTTTTGTACTCAAAGGACGTACTCGTAATTTTAACACTACAGTGCTGCCAACCGTTTTAAAAAGCGTGAAATTTGAAAATGAAACACGACTAAAGGTCAAGTTTGTTTAAAAAGTTTTAAATGAGTCTATTAAAGCACTCATTTCAGTAGTGAAATAAGTGGAAATTTTATCTTTTATAAGGCTGGTAATGCTTAAAATTTCTGACATTGCTACCAACTGTAAAATTCCTCAAAATTTTCAAACTATATGAAAGTTTTAATATTGATCCTATTACATTGCTACCAATTGTATAAAAAATATATTATCAAGTGCTTAAATAAATTATTTCGGCACTCAAATTTACAAAATTTGTGACAAAAATCTATTTTAGTGCTAAAATAAAATGGAATTCCAGTTTTTTACAGTTAGCGTATTTATTTGTGATTTTAACAATAACATTTTTACCAACTGTGATAAAATTCCTCAGTTTTAATAAAAAAAAATCACGTAATTCGTAGAATTGTTGAATTATACAGGGTGAATATAAAATATGATACCAAGCGTTTTTTAATCATTTGCCTACAAAAAATAATAATTAACCCAATTTTTTTTCACATTTTTTATTAGCTTTTCTAAAATATTCTTCTTTTTAAACAAGGGAATTTTTCTTTTTATTTCATAAGTTTTCTTGTAACTATATTTTTTTGAACGACTTGTTCATTTTCTTTTCTTTTTCTTTCGGTACGTTTTTTCTCATTATCATTTTCTTTTCTCAGTGTAAAAATTGACAATAAAAAAGCATTTTCATTATTATATGTGTTTGTTTCGTTTTTTTTATTACAAATTTTCTATGCTTCATTATTTTTTTGGATTTCTCTCAGTTTTTCTTTCTACTTATTTTCTTTATCTGATGGTTTGTCTTCTTTTTCTTTGTGTACATTTTTTATTCTACGTACATTTCTCTATAATTATTTTGTATTTTTCTTAAACGATTGACTAATAAAAACTAGCAAAAAAGAAAAAAAGCGAAAGAAAAAAGTAAACACATACTTTAAAAGAATGAAGATATTGAAGAAAGAAAAAATAAACAAATTATAAATACAGGGTGAATATAAAGTATGGATCAAAGCGGTTTTTTTAATTATTTGCTTTCAGAAAATAATAATTAATATAAATTAAAATATTATAAAAAATGTGATTATATTTTGAGAACGGAATTTTGTGTTTTGTTTTTAAGTTATGTAATTTTTTTAAGTAGTTAATTGTCTTAGATCATAACCTTTATGAGAAAAATTGTTTTATAGTGGGTTGCCTATTAAAAAAACAATTGTAGAATCCAAGAACAAAAGACAATTTCGAAAAATTTGCTTCTTGATAAAATATCATATTTTTTTTTGTACTTTATACAAAAAATAAATAGTTTAAGCAAAAAACGTTTGGTTCCATACTTTTTATCCACCTGGTATGACGTTGTTACATTGCAACCATCTGTGTAAAAAAATTGTTACTAACTGTTTAAATGACTCATTTCGGCACTTAAAACCGTGCTTTAAAAATAAATTTTAATCAAATCTCTCTTTTATTTACAATTTTTTTTTGATTTTGTTCGATTTTTCGTGCTTTTTAAATGCAAATCGTCAAAAACAAAGCACTCAAATCGAATCTGGTCGCATTTTGTGTAAAATAATTCGCACGTCGGCCGGAATTAAAAATCGCTGAAAAGCTGCGAGCTTTCGGCCGAAAAGCTCCGACAGAGGGATGCATTCTACAGGTGTTGGTAGCAAGTTTTGATCGCAAACGTCTATAATCCCAATGCAACAAGTTGTGATTAGTATCAAAACTGCGTTTCGCAGCATCACAAACTTTTCAAATTTAGGTGCTTTAGTACCTTACTGGTAGTGACATTCCGGTATTCGGCTGTAGTGGTCGTTGTTATTTGTGTGGAAAATTTACGAAGCAGGACCGGACTTAACCGTAAGTCGAAAACACACCTGACTTATCACTAATTTACACAATTTTGATCGAATTCGTGAAATGTCAAGAAGAAAAATTAATTTTCTCATTTTCTCTCTCATTTTGTTTTTGATTTAATTTAATTCGGGTTTTGTGGAATTAATTAATTGATGACAAAACGCTAAATGGACGTAAGTAATTAATTAATTTACAATTTTAATTAGTTTGTCACGTGATTTAACACACGCACCTAATAGAATCAAAATACATTTATTATCTATCTTTCGCTTTATTGAACATTTTGACTGATTGCTCTCATTAAAAGCTTCATAAAATCGAAATTAAATGTGTGATCAATCCTCTATTATCGTACCTGAATCCTACTTAATCAAAATTTATGAGAAAAAAAATAAAAAAATTTGATAAATGTGGTGCAATTTTGCGTGTTTTGTTCAACTTTTTGATTTTTATTAAAAAGAAAGCTGGTTTAATGCGACATTCGTGCAAAAAAATAATAAGAAAAGAAGTATTAGAAATTCAGATTGGGAAACATCTCAAATACACCAATTTGTTAATAATTTTTCTGCGCTTATTTTGAGGAGGAAAGCAACAATTTTCATTATACAACGCAAAATCAACCCAATTTAATTGAAAATTAACACAGTTTTTCGACTTTATAATTTTTCAAATGCAGATGGTAGAAAAAATTTGTATACCACACGTATTATGAACAAATCATAATTTTATTTTGTGTAAAGTTATAAATAAAAGATAGCAAAAATGAGAAAAAAAATAAAAGTAGTCCGGATTTTTTTATTGTAGATATTTCATGTAGATAAAGGTGAAAGAAAAAAATGTATTGTATTCTGTGAATTTCTAAATTAAAAAAAAATTAGAAAAATTAATTATAAAGATTTTTAAAGAAAACATTTTTAAAGTGAAAACAAAGAATTGTAAGGAATAGTTAACAGTAACACCGTTTCTTTACTTTATGATTTTACAAATGTTGGATAGTAGAAAAAAAATTGTATGCCACACGTGTTGTAAACAATTTTTTGACTTTAATTTATGCAAAGACGTAAAAAAGTGGCATTTTTGGAAAGTAAAAAAAATGAGATTTCGAATAAGGGTGAGAAAAAACGGTGTTAGGTACCATACTGTGAATTTCCACATATAACAAAAATTAATACGGTTTAAAAAACATATTTTTAGCTTTTGCGAGTCGTAGAAAAAAATTCGCATGTTTTGCTTGTTTATTGTATGCATATAATGTAATGGTTTTAAAAACTCCAATAAAAAAATTATGTCTATATGAAAAAAATGTAGTCTCAAAAATTTTTATTTTTTATTTTAGATGTTTTAACTGTAGAAAAAAAAGACTACGTGTACTATAAGAAAAAAATACAACAAAAAATTTAAAAATAATCATAAAGAATGAAGCAGTTAACAGTTAACACTGTTATTTCGTTACTTATGATTTTTCTAATGTAGGTAGTAGGAAAAAATGTATATCACACGTATTGTAAACTAATTATCACTTCATTTCGTGTAAAAACAAGAATAAAGAATAGCGTTTTTTTAAGTAAAAGAATAAAAAATATTCAATTTTAATATAAAAAAATTAANTTTAGATGTTATCAAAGTGAGGGATTTTTTTTATTGTATACTGTGAATTTCTGCATGTAAGAAAAATTAGAGAAATTATTACCGTTTTAATTTTTTTTATTTTAAAGTTTTGTTGAGTCGTACAAAAAATATGGTATGCTATATTGTATGTATTTGAACAAAATAATATTTTAATTTTAAAAACTTTAATAAAAAATTTCATGACAATATGATAGTAACTAGCAGTTGTTTTAAAAATTTAGATTTTTTACGGTAGGTAATAGAAAAAATCTTGGCGAGACTACGTGTTCTCCAAAAAAATACAACAAAAATATAAAATAAAAATAATTATAAGGAACTGAAACCTTGTTCCAAATTATTCTATTTTGATTATAGAAAAAATCTGTTATAATATCTGTGTCAATAAAGAGCTAAACATTTGATCACGTATTGTTTGAACTTTTCTACACTAGAAAATCCAGTTAAAAAAGTACTTATTTTATAATTTTTTTTATTAATTTTCGTAATCTACTAGGTGAGTCATAAAATAAGAACTATTAAAAATTACTGTTAATTTTCCTATTCTGTAAAGGTAATTGATCGAGTCGAAGCCAGCACATCCTCGCAAATCCCTTGAACAAATTGGACGATATTCAAGGACTTGTTGGCTTATAGAGGTTTAGTTTGAAAGATGAAGTGTCAAGCAAGACATTTCCGTATGTGAATTTAAGAAGATGAAAAAAAAATCGCGGTATTTTTAGTCCTCGAGAGTGCTTTTAACTGCCATTAATTCATCTAAATTCCTGCATTCGTAAATTTAATTCTGAATTGATTGATGTGACATTTGCACAATTTACACTTGTTTGAGTCGAGTTGCCGCACTTTGATACACTCCTTTTCGCTATAATTGGATTTGAACAATTTCTCCTTTATTAATTTAACAAAAATTAGGTAAAAATTTTTTGACACACCTTGTATGTCTGTCAGAAAGTAGAGTACAGTCCTGGAAAATTTGACCCCTTTCAAACTTCAACGAATTTCGAGGCGATACAGTTTTGCCAACTAGTACAAAAACACAAAATCCCCATCCTGGGGTCCTCAATTGTGACACACCCGATATAAGATTGTACGGGGGGTGTTTCGGAAGTGATTTGCCCGTGGCCTGCGGCCACGTCTTTTGAAACTTATTTTATTGTATGGGGTCACTAGGTTACTCAACGCCCTCTTTTCAGCGAAAAAATGTTTACTATCACCGGATTTCTATAGCTTTATAGCTTTCTCTTCAATGCGTCTCTCCATCAAAATTCAACTTTTTCATCACGAAGCCAACTAGATTCGAGTTAAACACACGATTAAAGTTTCGTAGAGTCGAGACGTGGGCTTAGGAAAGTGTCCGATTTGCATTTATGGCGATATGATTATGGTTCGCTTGCTGCATCCGAATGGGGTATTTTCGACAATGACTGGCTTTGGGTTTTGTTCGGTTTTAAAGGCGATAAACATCGAGGAAATGGGGAGAAAAATGCAATGCGGGATGTTCGCTCATTTAATAAAAACTCGCTTTTATTCGGGGAGAAATTTCAAAGTTTGGGAAATGGAGTTATGTAGGAGGCGTTGAAACGTCAACAATATGCTAAACTAGTATAGATAACAAATTCGGGAGAAAAGTACGAGTTTTTGTGTATTTTTTTATTGACATAAGAAGAAAAGAGCAATTTTTCACTTGCGTTAGAAAAAAACTTACATATGATTTATAAAAACATCCTTAAATGAAGCAATTTTGAATGGGAAAGTGGCAGTATTAAAAATTATTATTTTCTTCTATAAACTAAGTACAGAAAACTGTCTTTCTCAAATATACACAATTTTGTAGTAATTTTAGGCTAAAAAGATATTAATTTTTGTACTGGTAATTTTCTGAAAACTGCATTTTTTTTATTTACCCTGTATTTAGGTATTTTCTGTTTACATATTGTATCTCAGATTTCAATAAAGAAAATAGTTTTTAGTTTTTTGTACTAAAAAAAATTAAGAAAATTCTTTAAATTATTAGTTAATTAAATACAATCACAGAAATTGAAAATTTTTATTACTCAGCCTGTATTTTTCCCATACAGGGTGCGCCAGAACTCGCGCCCCAGAAAAAAATTTTAAGTAAGATAAGATACCAGGAACATGGAAAAACAAATTAAACAATCCCTATCTTTAAAAAAATTTTGACATTTATTTTTTGACATTTGACATTTTTTATGTCTATTTAATAATACTGATGATCTTGTACATGTTTTTTTTTACAATTATTTAGTAAACGTACAAATATTTTGCCAATACAAATAACATTGAACAAAGTTACAATTTAGGATACAGCTTCCTTGTTTTTTCTTCTAATAGCCTGTATCAAAAAAAACTAGGAAAATTATTTTTTCAACAGAAATAAATGGAGTCAAAAGATATAATAAATAACCTCAAAATTTTTATAGATAGACTTTTTTTAACATATTTTCCATGTTCCTGGTATCTTATCTTACATGGCATTTTTCTTTGGTGCGCTTGTTCTGGCGCATCGCATTTAGAGATTAAGCAAAATTTTCAAATTGCAATTTTATTAAATTTGCATAAGTGTTTGGATTAATTATTTAAAATTTATTAATTTGAGTATCCATTATAGTATACCATATTACAGAATTGTTTGCCTATAATTAATTTTTTTAAGACAACTATTTTTATTTAGAAAATCATTGGTTTCTTATGTGAAATAAATGGAGAAAAGTATACTTTTTATGTAAAAAATTAAACAAAAAAAATGAGGACTTTTAAAACCCACCCTGTACATATTCAAAATTCAACAACGGAAACAAATAATAACTTTTGTAGTAAAATAAGATAATAAACTATTAAATTACCTATTGTATTACTTAATCACAATAATTACAATAATAATATTAATTTAAACTTAATTAATTTACCAGAGTGTTATTATAAATATACTCCATATCCGAATTGCTTGTCTATAATTTATTTATGTCAAGGCAATATCCTCATGTCTGAAAAAAATGCAAAACAAAAAAAAACAAGTTTTTATATCTTTCATATGTTTTTTTTTCTTTCATACACAAAAAAACCTTTGTGACTCACTCTGTACACATTTTTTCCATACATATGTTACCTTAAAAATTAATAAAAATGTTCAAAGTGAAGTTACATTAGTGTCAGAATTAAAATTATTTATCACAAATATACCAAATTTCCGAATTGTTTGTGTATAATTTATTTTTAAAACAAAACCATTTTTTTCAAAATATAATTATTATCTTTTGTGAATTATGGTGACTAACTTAAGTTTTTATTTTATTTGCACAGATAAGTATTATTCCTTTCTATGATATAACCGTCGATTTTAATGCTTCCAACAAAAAACACTCTGTATACATTTTTTCCAAATATGGCACTTTAAAATTTGGAAATATATTCAAATTGATTAATTTGTTTGGTATACTCTATTTCAGAATTGTTTGTCTATAATATACTTTTGTGGAAATATGTCATATTTGACATTTTCGCGAAAAAACTCTGAATTGGTTTAAGATTTTGTTATGATATAACCGTCCACTTTACTGCTTGCAACAAAAAAAACACCTTGTATACATATTTTTAAAAATATGGCATCTTAAAATTTGACAAAAACATTCAAATTGCAATTTTATTTAAATTAAATAAGTGTCAGAATTAAAATTGAATGTCATCATAGATATACTCTATTTCCGAATTGTTTGTCCATTATACTTTTATCAAAATATGTTAAATTTGAGATTTACGCGAAAAAAGTCTGAATTGGTTAAAAAAATTTCATCGTTCGCTTGCAATAAAGCCCCAATCTGTCACCCACAAGAATCCTTTCATTCAATCGACTCCATCACACACGTCCAAATCGATAATTAATAGTTTGACGTTTTACTCTCGTCCACTAAATTAGCCCCTTTCTCCTCGTGTTGTAAATTTTTTCTCTAATTGCATTGCTACTAAATGCTTTCAAGTCACTTAATCCGAATTAGGCGAATGTCACGAATAAGCTACATTATACATCGATAAGGCAAAAAGCCACGCTTTCAATTTGGATTATGTAATAAAGCGTTCTCGCACCTGAATCTGAATTTAAAGAGAGTCTATAACCGGATTTCGAGACGCTAATGGTGTCCCTTGTGTTGCAGATGTGGCGAATAATAATGACGAGTTTGTTGTACGTTGTTGTGATCGATGGACGACCGATGGAGCCCTTGGAAGGGCCCCTGTGGCAGGATATGTCCATTTCGATGCCGGAAATTGCGATCAGAAGACATCCGGATGATCACAGTCAACGAAACTTACAACAAAACATATACAATCCAGGTAAAAAAACGCATTTTTTTTATTACCCACGATGGAAACAAATTTAATTTACATTAGTTTTGCACGCTCAATGTGTTTAAGTTGCATTAAATTAATTAATGTAATTTTCTGTCTATACAGCATCATAGTTGGTCATGCTCGTTACTAGATCTAGTTACAGTGGACTGTCACTCAAAACGACAAATTTTTTTTAATTATGAATGCGTTTTCAGTTTGTGACCTCACTTTTTCACATTAATCTGGTTTTATTTGAATTTATTATTTCGCTTCGACATTTCATTCAATAAAAAAATCCTTTTTTGGCTTAAAAAAATCTCTTTAGTTTTGTAATTGCTTGTACTCAAATTTTTTAACAATTTTTACCACAATTTTGTTAAAAAATAAGTGATTTTTCTCATATTTTATTTCCACCAATAATTTTAATGATTGAAATTACACAGAGTGTTGGCTAAATATCGAATTAATATCTGTTAAATTATAATAGTTTCATGTATTTGAACAAAGCAGCACGTTTATGACTAGCATAATAACTTAATAAAATAACATATCATATTTTTAAAAATGACATTACTTCTGTAGCCAACTGTATTTATTTGGAATAATACTCATGTACTTGAGTCTCTAATACAAATGATTAATTAAAATTACTTAAAGTAATAATTATAACTCTG